TTTGATAGACGCATGTCAACTTTGTTTTATATTTTATCGTGAAATATTTGATACATAAATGTAGATGTCTTATATCTATAAGTTGCCAAGCCCAACAACCAAAGCCTCAGAATCTACCACTAAGCTTTGGGAAATAAACCACTCTTCAGTTTCCACAGTGTTTTTCTGGGCTCCTGTCTGATGCCATCCTCCTGCCTCTGCCCCAGAGGTTGCCCCTGTCTTGGTATTTGTCAGCCAACCCCCATATATATATACACACAGATACGTATTTCTAAGTAGCGTGTGTTGAGCTTTATAAAAAATGGAATTCTAGTCCTTTGAGCTTCATTTAAATGCCACATACTGTCCTGGAAGATAAAAAGGCGGACCTGTGCCCTTGAAACGTGGGTTTCCACTGGTGGAGATAAATCTTGTTTTCTCTGGTGGCACCTCCCCAGGGTCTGGGAGGACGCCCAGTTGCCTCCGCAGATTGCCACAGCAGCTGTCCACGAGAGGGGGTTCTGGGGCCGGCCAGGGAAGCGGAGTTACTAGAATTACAGTCCACCGGGACACTCAGGCGATGCCAGGCCCCCCAGGGGAACGAGTGTTCTGGGCATCTGGGAAGCAGATGGACAAGATTCTGACTCCAGTGATGGATGGGGGTGAGTGGGAAGGCTGGAAGGCCGAGTGCCGGACGTGGTGCTCGCAGAGAGGACTCAGGCAGCAGGTGTGGGTCAAGGATGCTTCACTGGGAACATCCCGAGCTCCAGCACCTGCATTCCTTGTGCGGGTGGGTGGTCGCTGCTGGGGACCACAACAGAGGCCTGGAGGAGCCCGGGGAGCACCACCACCTTCTGCCTGTATCCTTGAGCATCTGTTTGCTGAACACCTACTGTGTGCCCGGGATAAGACAGTGACTTAGACTTTTTCCAGGTATAAGGACCTCACGGTGTAGTCGGAAGTCATGCTGCTACCTTTGGCTACGTCATGCTGTGTTCGCAGAGGATCCCCAAACATAAGTGGCTTAGGGCAGCCAGCAACCATTACCTCCTTGTGCATGTTGTGTATTCCCTGCAGGTTAGCTGCAGCTCTGGTCCTTGCCCTCCGCCCTTCCCTCCGGGCCCCAGGCCAGAGGATCAGCCCTTACGTGGTTTATGTCGTATTCATGGTAGGGGGAACGGCAAGAGAGGTGATAAAAGTAAGCCGTGGTTCTTAAAAGACCTGCTCAACCCTGGCCTGTCACGCCTACTCACAGTCCCCAGAGAGAGCAAGTCACGTGGCCAGGACTGATGTCCGTGGGGAGGGGAAGCCCACTCCCCCAACCCCCAACCTCCCGCCCCGGGGCGGTGAGCGGAGCAGAGATTCCTCTTTCAGGGAGGCCAGAGAATGTCTGGGAAGAGTATTACAGTCTGTCATAGATACGAACAGGCAATTCTAGTAACAGTAGAATAAGGCTTTAGAGTAAGTAATACTGTATTAAGTTTTGACTTTACAAAATAAATTTTCATATACAAATATATTGTTGCCCCTAGGTTAGCTTTGGGGATTCTGTTGAGAAATAGTTTGAGAACTGAAGCAGGATTGTTCCAGAGCAGTGGGCCGGAGGGAGGAGGCACGACTGGCCACCGTGGTCTTCTCTCTAGCCCTGGGCACATGCATACAGGCTGCAGGATTTAAGAAGAAGCTTCTTACACAGACAACCCCCCTGCCCCCTTCCAGTCTTCCTCTTGGCGTGCGTTCTGTCCATCTGGCTGGCAGCAGGCCCATCCCGTTCCTGTGGGGCTTTTTGTGCCACATCCCTCCATACACGTGACTCCTGCCCACTTCACAGTCCTGGCCACATGGCTTTAGAGGGATGTGCTCTTTTGTGCCTCCTCATGAAGTCTGTTGAGGTTGGAGGCCTGGGCCGTGGCTGCCTTTCCTCCAGTCCCCACCACCCTTCCAGCCACCCTGGGCACATACTAGATGCCTAATAAGTCCGTACAAAAGGCGGTTGCATCGAGGGGAAGTCATCACCTGTAGGTTTGTCTTGTCGTGCTTTCTCCGTGAGGCTGGCTACCGTGTGGGGGACAGCTGGAGTTACGCAGAGTGCCTCCAGGACGTTTAGAGCCAGGTTTGAAGCACTCTTGCCCTCGGTTTGTAATCGGGACGGGGACTGAATAGCTCCGCCTTCTCGATGAGCTGGTATTCATCTGTCCTCAGGCATGTTGCTTTGCAAATGCTAGTGGGCTTTTCAGAAGTACGCATGTGTGTTTTCCAAGGGCCAGGACTGTATCTCTATTTTTTCTTTTAAAAGATTCCCCATGGCCCCTGACAAGAACCACACACAAAGTGGGTGCTTAGTAAATTTTGCCTGTCTCCTCTTCCTTGGAACCTCCACCAGATACGAACATGGTTCTGGGCCCGTGGGCCTTAGCAGAAGGCTGATTACATGCAGGCCTGGATCCTGAGAATTGTGTAATTGGAAAAGGAATGAAGTGTCAGACAACTGAGATCCAGGCCAGTAGCAACCTGGGGTACCGTATGGGATGTCTACTCTCTCAAGGCCGTCCACGTGGCAGGACCAGTGATGTGGGACCAGCAAGTGCCTAGCCCTGCACTCAGACATGGTTTGGAATCCACCCTGAATGATCATCATGGTATTTCATGGGTTATTTAACTTGTCTGAGTCTGTTTCTTAATCCTTAGATGTCAGGATCCTAAAAATACTGTTAATTGTTGTACTCTTTTGCACCTATAAATAACATCCTTTCTGGCCTGTGTTCTGAATCCATTGAGACTTGATGATAAAAGTGGTGGAAAGAGTGAAACTGGCAGAAAGTGGCCAAAACACTACTAGTGTGGCTGATAAAGGGTTGAAGAGAAAAGATGCCGGCTTTTGGACTTCACCATTGAATCTGAGAATTAAATGGGTGCTTGCACCCAGTCCCAGGCTAGAGACACGTACAGGCATCCTCTGGGGGAACGACTGGGTAGCACTCAGGTTTGGGATAGTTGAAGCAAAAGCAGTCACTCCTTGCTTGTTCCAGATGGGTCGAGGCTGGGCCTCATATACACCCTCTGGGGTGCTAACCAGGTGGTTACTCTGCCTCCATGCCCAGGGAGAGCATGTGAACAGCTGAGAGGGCCTAGGATCACTGCACTGGGGCAGAAGCACCCTACGTTAGGAGTAAGGACACAGGGGGAGGTGCCCTTCTGCTGTGGGGTGGGCCTTTGTGGACCCCTGGGACTCCGAGATGTTGTTTCAGGTGAATACTTCTGTTACCAGGGTGCCTGGGTGGCTCAGATGGTTGGGCATCTGCCTTCAGTTTGGGTCGTGATCCCTGGGTCCTGGGATCGGATCCTGCGTCGGGCTCCCTGCTCCTTGGGGAGCCTGCTTCTCCCTCTGCCTCTCTCTCTCTCTCTCTCTATCTCTCATGAATAAATAAATAAAATCTTTAAAAAAAAATACTTCTGTTAATAGTTACAGTTGCGTTTATCATTGACTAAAGCAAGCACCACAGTGCTCTGCAGTGATCCTAGATGTTACCCCATGCATTTGGAAAGACATAAAAGGCCATTTCTTATTCAGCTTTCTGCCATTCGGACCTTGACCTGAGATGCACTCCTTCCTTCTCTGTCTTTGCTCCCATGAGCCTACCTGGTTGGAGCGGCAGTGGCCACTTCCGAGGGAAGCCATGTGGGGGTCTGCTCAGCTTCATTCTTTTTTTATTCCCTCCTATTTATTTATTTATTATTTATTTGTTTATTTATTATTTTGATGTAGTGTTCCATGATTAATTGTTTGCATATAACACCCAGTGCTCCATTCAATACGTGCCCTCCTTAATACCCATCACCAGGCTAACCCATCCCCCCACCCCCCTCCCCTCTAGAATCCTCAGTTTGTTTCTCAGAGTCCATAGTCTCTCATGGTTTGTCTCCCCCTCCGATTTTCCCCCCTTCATTTTTCCCTTCCTACTATCTTCTTTTATTTTTTTAAACACATAATGTATTATTTGTTTCAGAGGTACAGGTCTGTGATTCATCAGTCTTACACAATTCACAGCGCTCACTGTAGCACATACCCTCCCCAGTGTCTACCACCCAGCCTCCATCCCTCCCATCTCCCACCACTCCAGCAACCCTCAGTTTGTTTCCTGAGATTAAGAATCCCTCATATCAGTGAGATCATATGATACATGTCTTTCTCTGATTGACTTATTTCTCTTAGCATTATATCCTCTAGTTCCACGTTGTTGCAAATGGCAAGATTTCAATTTTTGATGGCTGCATAGTATTCCACTGTGTGTGTGTGTGTGTGTGTGTGTGTGTGTATTATCACATCTTCTTTATCCATTCATCTGTTGATGGACATCTTGGCTCTTTCCACAGTTTGGCTATTATATGGACATTGCTGCTCTAAACATTGGGGTGCACATACCCCTTCGGATCCCTACATTTGTATCTTTGGGGTAAATACCCAGTAGTGCAATTACTGGGTCGTAGGGTAGCTCTATTTTCAACCTTTTGAGGAACCTCCATACTGTTTTCCAGAATGGCTGCACCAGCTCGCATTCCCACCAACAGTGTAGGAGGGTTCCCCTTTCTCCGCATCCCCGCCAACATC